AAAGGTCCTAAGTTCAATTCCCAGCAACCACATGGTGGCTCACAACCATCTGTAATGAGGTCTGGTGCCCTCTTCTGGCCTGCAGGCATACACACAGACAGAATATTGTATACATAATAAATAAATATTTTTTTAAAAATTACATCTGTGTGTGTATGTGTTTGAGGGGTGGGGGTCAGAGGACCACCATGGAGTCCTCTTCTTCCATCATGTGGGTCCCAGGGATCAAACTCAGGCTTGGCGACAAGCGCCTTAGTCCATGAGTTGTCTTGCTGCCCACCTAAGCTTGTGCCTCTCTTACATCAAGAGTTTGTAACTCATTCTTGATGTGGACTTTGGGGAATTTGCTAAAGCCTGAATTGAACATTTTTCCTCTTTCTCCCCATCACCTTACCTAAAACCTGGCTTCTTCAAGGGGTCACCATTTCAGCCAGTGGTGGCACCATCACTGCCCGGGTGTCCGTGGTGGAACCTTGGAGGCTCCTAGTCACTGGGCGTTTTGGTCCTGCTTCCAAGGCAGTTCACCTGTGAGCCTCTGTGCCCTGTGAGCTGGGTGTCTGAAGTCCTGAAGCATCCAAACCAACTGCATTGTCAAGGCTTCGTTGTGACATTTTTAATTTACAGAACTGTTGAGTCATATCACCCACGTCTCTATTCCATAGTTGACATTCTGCTGATTTGTGTTGTTTCTCAATTTACAGTGGTTTCACCTGCCTTTACTGAGCTGTTTGGACGTAAAATACAGACATCACAAAAGCCACCTCTGGATGTGTTGGCAAATTAATCAGCATTCTCAGGGATGGGAATACAGCTCAACAATACAGTGTTTATCTTGCATGTACAAAACCCTGACTTTAATCCCTAGCAACACACATGCATGCATGCACACAAACACACCTCATGCAAGTGGTGTATTTTTAAATTTAAGAAACTGAACATCTGTTCTTTTTTTCTAATTTTCCAAGTCAACACTTAGATTTCATTTTATTTTTGTTTTATGTACATTGGTATTTTGCCATGGTTATCAGGTCCCCTGGAACTGGAGTTACAGGCAGTTGTTGCTTGCCATGTAGGTGCTGGAAATTGAACCCAGGTTCTCTGGAAGAGCTGCCAGTGATCTTAACCTCTGAGCTATCTCTCCAGCCCATTTGTTCTTTTTTTGTTTTGTTTTTAAGTAAGGTTTCTTTATAATTAAAATAGTTGAATTTTTAGTTATGTGTGTGGGAATATGCAATATGTGTGTATAGTGCCTCTGAAGGCCAGAAGAGGATGTGGGATTCCTTGGTGTTAAACCACCTGATGTGGGTGCTGAGATCTGAGATCTGAACTTGGGTCCTCTGATAGAATAGTAAACATTCTTCTGTTTTTTTGTTTGTTTGTTTGTTTGTTTTTTTGTTTGTTTTTTTTTTTTTGAGACAGGGTTTCTCTGTAGCTTTGGGGCCTGTCCTGGAACTTTCTCTGTAGACCAGGCTGGCCTCAAACTCACAGAGATCCGCCTAAGTGCTGGGATTAAAGGCGTGTGCCACCACCACCTGGCTAGAATAGTAAGCATTCTTAACTGCTAAACCATCTCTCTAGTCCCAAACATCCTTTATATTTTTAAATTAAAAAAAATTGAAAATTTTCTTTTTTTTTTTGGTTTTTCAAAACAGGGTTCCTTTATATAACAGCTCTGGCTGTCCTGGAATTTCTCACTTTGTTTGCCAGGCTGGCTTCAAACTCACAGAGATCCGCCAACCTCTGCCTCCCGAATGCTGGGAAGAAAGGCATGTACCACTACTCCAGGGTTTAATCTTTAAATTTTTTAGAAAAATATTGTATGTTGTGTGTATGGGTGTTTTTCATCTGAATGTGTGTTCACCACATGCATGTCGTGTCCATGGAGGGCAGAAGAGGGTATTTATTACAGATGCTTCTGTGCCACCACATGGATGCTAGGATCGGAACCTGGGTTCCCTGGAAGAGAGTCCAGTGTTCTTCACCTCTGAGCCATCTCTCCAGCCCCAACACTCTTTCAGTGTGCCAGCTTGTCCCGCTATTCCTGCATGCACCTATGACTGCTAGAATGTCCAGGACCCAAGCAGAGTGCACACAATGGATTGGTTGTGATAACTCTTAAATTTCTTTTAATCTGGACTAGATCCTCTGTTTTTCAATACAGTCTCACTATGTAACCCTGGCTGGTTTTGAACTCAGAGTGTTGGGATTAAAGGTGTGTGCCACCATGCCTGGCCTCACTGGACTCTTTTGGAGAACTTTAACCCAGTGCCATGTAGACTGTCCTATATTGTATTTGTCAGTTTCCTCCGTATTAGATGGATTTGGGTCATCTTGCGTGACCCAGGCCCTGGGTATCTCTGCAGAAACACTTGAGGCACAGACAGGGTGGATTTGCCTGTTGTTGCCTGATCGCTTGCCTGTGTTCAGCCGTGCTTTGCTAAACCCTTCCTACTGTGATTAGAGCTCTGACTCTGTGGGTCTTGAGACCCTGTCCCTTTCTCTCTAATAACCTTTCACCCAGTGCCTTTAGTTTTGAGTATCTTCCTGAGTCTATAGTTATACTGGGGGTCAAAAGTTATGATTTAAAAGCTGGGCATGTTGGCACACACCTTTAATCCCAGCACTTGGGAGGCAGAGTCAGGCAGATCTCTTTGAGTTTGGGGCCAGCCTGGTCTAGAGAGCAAGTTCCAGGGCTGTTACACAGAGAAAACAAACAAACAAATATAGAAAGAATTGTGATTTAAAATTTTTGTACTTTTTCTAGTGGGTTTATTTTTATTCGTTATTGTGAGGGTGTTTCTGTGTGTCATGACATACATGTGGAGGTCAGAGGTCAACTTCGTAGAGTTGATTCTCTCCTGTCCTTACCTAGGCTTGTTCAGATCATCAGGTCTTTACATAGAAAGGGCCTTTCTTCACATAAGCCATTTTTCTGGTCTGTTGGATTTATTTTTTATTTTGTATTGTAATCTCCCATTGTCCATTCTTTCTGATGCTCAAGCATGTTCAAAGTTTGTTCAGTGAGAGAAGACAGCTCTTGTGCCTTTTGCCATGTCCTCTGGATTCTATGAGCACCTCTAAGACACTCCAAGCTGGCCTTTTCCTTGCCTCTCCCTGGAACCAGCCATTTTGTCAAGCAGTACTAGTGTCTTGTGCTGGGGAATTAAGACCTAAGACCTAGGTGGGCTCCTTCGCATTGTGTTTCATGCTCTAGGGAGAACAGAGCTAAGATATTTTATAGAGAGGCTGCAAGTGTGTTGACCAATGGCAGCAACCCAACACATCTGTGTTTTATTTGGTTTGCTCTTCTTTTTCTATAGTAATTTGGGTTTTCCCCATTTCGATGTATTTATGAATTTCTGCTATAATATGGAACAGTGGTATCAGAATTTTTATTTAGTGGTACTGGGGTATGGAACCTAGGGCCTTGCACTTCCTAGGTAAGTACTCTCCCACTGAGCCACATAGTCAGTCCTTTAGAAACGTTTCTATTGTTTGCATTTATATGTGTACGTGTGTGTGTGTGTGCACATGTGTGCATATGCACCAGTCACAGTGCATGTGTGGAAGGTCAGAGGACAACTTACAAGAGTTGGTTCTCTCCTTCCACTAGGTTCTACAGATTGAGCTCAGGTGGCCAAGCTTGGTGGCAAGCACCCTTACGCTCTGAACTTCTCACCAGTCTTAAAACTTGAAACAGGGTCTTAATGAATGACCCAGACTGACTTTGAACTTACTTGGTAGCACAGGCAAGACTTGAACTCATGGTCTTCCTGCCTGATTCTCCACAGTCTTTGAGATTATAGGCCTGCACCAACACGTCTGGTTTAGTGTCAGAACCTTGAAACAGATAGACTGCTAATGTCATACCTCACAGGCTGCTAACAATATACCTGCTATGTGAGGTTTGGGTTTTGGGTTTTGTTTTTCCTCTCCCCTCCCTGAGACTCTTCCTCTAAGGGTGCACAGGATAGTGGATTCAAAACTTCTTTTTCTTTCTCTTAGAAATCCTGAGTTTGGTATGCAGTTAAGTTCTCTTGTGTCTATTTATTCTACGGATGCTTCTCTCATTTATTTTGTGTGTGTGTAAATTTACTACCTCCAAAGTCAAAGTGTTACCAGAAGGTGCACGGTATTCACATTCCTCCATCTGTTTCCCCCTCTGCTTTTCCTCTGATTTATCCTGTGCCTTTCTCTCCAACCCTGACAACTGAATTCTTTTTGTTTGTTTGTTTGTTTGTTTCTCTGTGTAAGAGGTCTAGCTGTCTTGAAACTCACTCTGTAGACCAGGCTGGCCTTGAACTCACAGAGATTCAACGCTGCTGCCTCCTGAGTGCTGGGATTAAAGGCATGCGCCACCACTGCCCAGTAACAACTGAATTCTTATAGCTGTATTGGTCAGCTTTCTGTTAGCTGAATAAATCTATTTATAAGGTGAAAGGAATTCTTTTAGCTCACAGTTTTGGAGGTTTTATTTAGGTCATGGTTAATGTTCCTGGCCAGTGGGCCCCACTGCTTTTGGGTCTATGGGGAGACAGCATATCATTGCAGGAGTGACTTGGAGAAGAAAAATCTCTCAGAGACTGCAAGAGCCAGAGCTTCACAGTCGAGGTACAATCTAATGACTGAAGGATCTGCTTGGCCACATCTTTTAAAGGTTCTGTTACCTCCCATTATTGTCATGGTGTGGGCACCAAGCTCACACACATCGTCCTTCAGGGACATGTGGATCCAAACACAGCAGCTTCCCTTTGTGCCGTTCGCCAGTGAGAGTGTCTCAATGGCACCTCATCTCTAGACAATGCTCATATAGCACTGTATCGTGTGGCCACCATGTAGTTTATCCACCCAGTCACATGTAGAGTTTCTAGGTTGGTTGTTTCCAAAGGTTTTTTTTTTTAAATTTTTAAAATGTATACGGATGTTATATCTGTGCACCATATGTGTGATTAGAGACCAGAAGAAGGTGTTGGATCCCCAGACAGTTGTGAGTCACCGTGTAGGTGCTGGGTATTAAGCCCGGATCCTCTGGAAGAGCAGCCAGTGCTCTTTGCCTCTGAACCATCTCTTCAGCCCATGTCCAGTGTTTTGCCCGACAGCAGCACTGAGGTGAGCAGCCTCGTGCATTTGCTGCTATGCATCTGTGGGAGAGCCTTCTGGTTTAACTTCCGAAATTGAGTGTTTTGTTAGACATTGTCAAGTTCCTCCCATAGGAGAGTGTGCTTCTCTCTGTGGTGGGTGACCCCAAGCCTGCTGCTTATGGGGGAGTCAGCTTAGTCGTTTCTATTTCTTCTGTGTGTGTTTTCATGTACGTGGGCTGTTTGTGGGGTCTTTTGTTTTGTTTTGCTTGCTTTGTTTTTAAAAATGAATCATTTTGCTTCTGTCCATTATTTTGATTTTTAAGGCTCTTTGGTATTTGGAGAGTTCTATACTTGAGCTCAACTCCCTCCCTCCATGCTGCCTGGCCTTGTTAGCTTCAGCGGTCTGCTGGACACAAACCTTGAGTCATCAGGGAAGAGGGACTCTCAAGTGAAGAATTTACCTCTCACAGACTGGTCATCGGGCATGTCTATGGAAGCATTTTTCTGATTGCTGGTTGATGTGGGAGCTTTCCCCTCCAGGGATTGCTGGCTCCAGGCAACAGCAGGAGGGTGTGTGTGTGAATGAATGGGGTGTTCTGACCATCCTAGGACCCAGCTGCAGTTTCTGCAAGTTAAATGCTCATTTTCAGAATTAGCCAGGTGCCGCCTAGTTTCTTTCCAGTGTGACTGTCTTGTTCAATATTGCCTCCTTCCCAGTCACCTGGGAGTTTTGGAAGATGAGAGGAAATTCCTGGAGAGGAGACTCCTGGGACCCGAGTGATGGTTCCCGCGGCAGGTAAGCAGGAGGGGAGTTGAGGGTGAGTAGCTGTGACTTAGCTGCTGCAGGCGTGGGCAGAACCCCCACCGGCTGAGCGGTTCAGATTTCTGCTCCAAAGTGCAGCATCACGGCTGTGGACAGGAGGTACAATTAGTGTCGCCGCAGAAACCAGCAGTCCTGCTCCCGTCAATCATTCCTCTGAGGTTGGAGCGGGGGGAGTGAGAATCAAGCTCAGCTGAGAACAGAAGGGCGGTGAGAGACCTTCCAGAAAGCAGCCACAGTCTGCCAGGAAACAGACCCCGTGCCCCAGGGAGGGGGAAGCAGGACAGGCTCCTGTGGAGGGCCGCAACCACATTCTCCTTTGCTTCAAGGGACAAAGGTAGAGATTGACCTCTGTGACCTCAAGGTGTGGTGGTACACGCCTTTGGTCCCAATGCCTGGGAGGCAGAGACAGGCAGATCTCTGTGAGTTCAAGGTGTTGTAGCACACGCCTTTAATCCCAGCGCACGTGCTTGGTAACTCTCTACTGCTGCGTCCCTGCCTACTTCCGAGGCATCATCTGGGATAATGGGCAGCGGACCAATCCAAGAGTGACACGTCAGAAGCGAGGACTGTTTCCTTTATAAGGGCTGGGTTCCCCTCATTCTGGGTCTCTGCAAAGTAAGCTTATGCTCTCCCTCTCAAGACGCATTAAAGCTTTGCTGCAGAAGGATCCTAAGTGTGCCGCGTCGTTCTTGCTGGCAAGACAGTAGCGCGGGGCAGGCTCCCACCTCACAGGGAGCCACAAGGACAGCACTTTGTTTTCTCCCTTTCTTCTCTCCCTTCCTCCCTCCTTCCCTCCCTCCCTTCTTTCCTTTATTTTTTGAGGCCTTATTTTAATTTTATATGTGTGAATGTTTGCCTGAATGTATGTACCTGAATACATTGTGCAACACCTGCCTGTAGTGTCCGAGGGGGGGCTAGGAAATGGCACCAGATCCACAGAGATCCGAGTTCCTGATGTTTGTGAACTGTTATGTGGGTGCTGGGAATGGAACCTGGGCCGTCTTGGAAGAGCAGCCAGGTGCTCTTAACCTTGGAGCCCTCCCTCCAGCCCCAGTATTTTCTCATGAACAGAACATTGCCTAGCCGGGGTAAACAAGAGGGTCCCACGCTGAGTTACATGACAGACTCAGTACTTCCTGGGACTGCTGCTGTTGCCATGGGGACGGATTCTGTGACGTCACAGTGTGTGGCAAGGGCATGGACTTTGCTCATGTCTGCCCGCTGGGGCCTTGGAACACAGTTTGTTCAGAGCAACTGGTTGTGGATCCTGGGGCTTGTACTATAGTTTGGTTGTCTCATCGACTATAAGACTGCCCCACCCTATGACAACAGTGAGTCACTATTGTCAGGCACGGAAGTCACTTTAAATGGACTTTGTCAGAACCGGAATAGTATTTGGGGCACAACTAAGTACAAGTTGAGAGTTAGTTGGCTTAGTGGTGTGGTTCCTGGTCTACAAAGGGTTAATGGCACTGGGATACTCTTGTCTCAGCCACAGGTTTCCCTGTTGCCCTCCCAGACTGCCCCCAGGAGCATCTGGTTCTCTAGGCCCCAGAGCTGTGTCACCCGGAAAGCAAAAGCAAAGGCTCTGCTCAAATCTCACCTCCTGCACCCCGCCCCTCCCCAAAGTCCCCCTTAGCCAAGGCGTTTCATTCCACGGCCCATCTGTCGGGTTCTGTCTGTTACCTTATCCGGCTTCCACTGCTTGGAGAGGGTGACTAAGGGAAACGGGGTATTTTCAGCCAGGGGCCATCATCGTTGCTGGATCAAGTGTCTTTTTGGTGCCCTGGATTTCAGGACAGGTGTGTTTTTATTCAGGAGAAACAGAGCCCTGAAATTAGAAGGCTAGATTTCCCTTCCAAAACATATCCCTCCCCCATCCTCCCAACCTGTCCCACTGGTGATGGCAGCCCCCATTTTGATTGTAGGAGAACCATAAAACCTGAAACCAGGAGGCCAGGCTTCCGATCTCTACCTCAGCTTCTAAAGGGCGTGTAAATTCATGGAGTCATGGTTCCCTCTTGTCTGTGGTGAGCCTCAGCCTCATCAGCCTCTAGGGACTGGCTGGAGGGCATTGGTGAGGTGCTTCAGTGACCTGGGAGGGCAAAAGTCCTCCCTGGGAGACCACAGAGTAATCGGGTCCCTGGTGTGTGCAGGGTGGCCTCCCTATGATCTGGGCCCTCTTACTGGTGTGTTCAGGGTGGGCTTCCCTGTGGTCTGGGCCCTCTTTTTAGCCAGAGATACAAAAGAGAAAGTATAGAGTTGGAAAGATTAGTCTGGGCTGTTTCCCAAAATTACACCTATCATGTGGATGGGGCACTTTTTTCCCTTTTATTTTTGTGGTTTTTGTGTGTGTGTGTGTGCGTGCACGCACGCTGGGAATCAGTCCAAGGCCTCACAATGCTAGGCAAGCACTCCACCACTGTGAAGGATCCCCAAAACTCTCCCCCATCTAGAGCATCAGTGCACAAACATAAAATTTACATCCTTTCAAAAACTATTTGGGGGCTGGAGACATGGCTCAGTGGTTAAGAGCCCTGGCTGTTTTTCTAGAGTCCAAGGTTCAATTCCCAGTACCCATACAATAGCTCACAACCATCTGTAACTCTGGTTCATGGATGGATCTGGCACTGCCTCTTGACGCCCTTGGGCACCAGGCACACACATTGTGCATGGGATGCACACACAGGAAGAAAAATAAAAGCCATACACATAAAACAATCAGTTCTTGTGTCAAAGTCATAATGCACATAGATGAAGTCAGATAGTGTTAGAAGACATTAAACAATACCAATTTATTCTCCTTCCCTCACCGGTTCCTACAAAGAGCTGGCCTCACCTTTTCTAAATTTCCATTTGTAGTTAATCCTGGGTCCAACTCCTGTTATTTATTCGGGTTTCTCACTTTTTCCTATGTAGACGCCCATTGGTTTCCTGCTGTGGGAGATGAGAGCTTGACTCCCCTACACTGTGACCCCATCACTTCCTTCCGCCTAGCTCCCCACACCACGGTCCTATCAGGACACTGGTTCATTTGATAGTGTTTGCTTTATTATGAGTTTGCAAAATGTCCCACAACTGAACTCTTATCTTCTCCCCCAAACCTGCTACTGCTGGTTTAAAAACAACGTCCACATGTTCTGTGCCTGTTCTCTATTTGCGGGGAGGGATCTGGTCCCCTCCTTTTTCAACATGCCCACTGGATTCTGAGGGACAGAATGTCACTGAAATAACACAGTTCTGATGGATGCCAGGTCATAAAAGGTTGGTTTGGAGTTCTGAGCCACTGGGAAGAAGTCTGGCTCCCTGGAAGCCATCAGACTGGAGATGTCATGGGTGGAGATCACATGAAGATACAAAGATGCTCCAGGAGCCCCATTGGCCGGCCTTTAGCTCCTGGACTCTCTGGTGGGGGCATCAGATATGGGAATGAGAACGGCTTTGAGAAGACCCGGTCCTACTTCCCCGACAGCTACCCAGCACCTGCCATGACCATAGGACCAACAGCCATCACAGATTCCATCTTATGCCACTCAGTTTAGATTGCTTCATCCACAGGTAACAGGAAGAACAGCTCTAGCCGTGGCCTCCCCATCTCTCTTGGCTGTGGCATCATCTTTCTGCTCGCGCCATTTTGAGTTTCTTCTTTCCTACGCTCCTCGTTGCTCTCTGCCGCTCACACTCCTCCCTCAGTCCATGTGTTAAAAACACTCTGGTCTGCCTTAAAGCCAATTGGCAACCTATTGTTCTCACTCTCTCTAATGTGAGCGGTTTTTCCAAGCTGCCATCATCCAACTGAGACAGCACCATCACCTTTCATCTGAGTACAGCATCCTGCCGCACCCCAGGCCCTCTTAGAGTTTACTCACCACACATCAGGAGTAGCTGTTCTGGCCATGTCACTCCTCTGCACACAACTGCAGTGGCTCCCCTCTCAGAGACACCATGGCAGTGGCGCATGGTGGAGGTGCATGGAGAGAGCGGAAGAGTCCAGGGTTCTCACATCACCTTCAAGGGCATGTCCTCAGTGACCTACTTTCTTCCGTTAAGTCTGACCTCCTAAAGGCTCCACGCCTCTCAACAGTGCCACAGATTAGAGACCAAGTGTTTACAGATGGGCCTTTGGGGGAACATTAGCAACCAAACTCTGGGTAGAAAGTTGGCTTTTCAGTTTTGTTTTTAGTAAATATAATTATATCATTTCCCCCTTCCCTTTCTTGCCTACAACCCCTCTCATTTCAAATTCATGGCCTCTTTTTCTTTGTTTTTACAAATGTGTGTTCCCAAATAAATAAATAGAACCATCTCAGTTCGCATAATACTATTTGTATGTATAATTTCAGGGAAGACCATTTGGCATTGGGTAACCAATCGGTGTGATCTTCCCTGGGGAGGACTAATGTGTGTGTGCATACAACACACACACACACTCATTTGTAAACATACACACATTTGTAAATACACACACACATACATACACACACACACACACACACACGCACACACACACACACATGGAGGGCAGTGCCTACAGAGGCTCTGGAGCTGGAGTTACAGGGTCTTGGCCAGTCTCATCATTTGAATTGTTTTATTCTCTCATGGGTTCATATGTCCTTCATGCTTTTGTTTGCCATTTGTCAGGGTTCTAGAAGGATTCTAGAAGGTAAGCAGTCCACCACACTAACTCACATGGACAGCTGCATTTTATTTTATTTTATTTTTCTAAAAATAACTTGTTTAAATTTATTTTATATGCATTGGTGTGAAGGTGTCAGAGCCTTTGCACTGGAGCTACAGACAGTTGTGAGCTACCATGTGGGTGCTGGGAATTAAACCCAGGTCCCCTGGAAGAAGCAGTCAGTGCTCTTAACTGCTGAGCCATTTCTACAGCCCCCGGAGCTGCATTTTAAAAACAGAATTGACTGTCTTACTTAAAAAAGGATGGGCAAGATGCGCCTTCCCATTCAAGCTTGCACATGGCTTCCATGGTGAAACTTCCAGAAGACAGGCTAACCCATGGCATCCTCAGGGGGTGAGCACTGCACCCACAGAGTTGCTGTAAACTAATCCCAGTGAGATGCTTTGCGTAGCACCTGGCATCTGACTGTCCTAGTGACAGTAATTATAATGATTCTTAACATCCTGGGATGAACTTAAGAACTCTCAGGACTGGGGCAAAAATTCTGTATATCCTAGACTCCGACCCTGAAGCCAGAGGCAACCTTTTGCAGACTTTTTTTTTTTTTTGAAGTCTACCAGTCAGTCACCGATGCTCCAGGCTCAGAGAATTCCTTGGTGAGGGAGAAGATTTGTCCTCCCTGGGTGCTGGCTGGTATTACATAGTTTCCCTTGCTAATTGGTTTATGCTCCATCTGGAATGTTCTTGTTTTTTGACATGACTCTGTCTCTTTGCAAATTACTTAGTGACTTTCCATTTTTTCCCCCCTCCCTAGAATTTTCTCCCACTCATCCCTGCTCTCCTTTTACAATGCTAAAATCACTGTCTAACTTGTAACAAAGGTAACTGGGCTATCCAGTCTTTGTTACAATTGCCTAGAAATCGCTACAGTCTGTCCAGTCAGGTCTTCCCCACACCCAGACAGGGTTTCTCTGTGTAGCTTTGGCTGTCCTGGAACTCACTAGGTAGACCAGCTGGTCTCAAACTCAGAGATCCCCTGCCTCTGTCTCCTGAGTGATAGGATTAAAGGTATGTGCCACCACACCTGGCTTCATTCTGCTTTTTAAAAAAAAATTATTAAAAAACGCTTATTTAGTGTGTGGCTATGTGCATACTATGCGGTTGCCCATGGAGATCTCCTGGGACTGAGGTTACAGGAGGCTGTGAGCTGTTTGATTAAGGTGCTTGGAACTGATTTCTGGTATTTTGCAAGAATAGTATGTGCTCTTAACTGCTGAGACATTTATTCAGCACTCAACAGACCGGGGTTAAATCTCAGCCCTGCCACCGAAGATCTCTCTGTCCAGAGGGCAAAGAGTCCTCCAGGGGCTCAGTTTCCTCATCTGTCAAATGAAGATGATACTACTAACATTTAACTCCCTGAGCTGTCCTGAGGCTTGAAGAGGTAACCAGCCCTGTACAGAGTTCAAGAAAGCTGACCACCGCTCTTGTCCTCTTTCCCAGTTTAACTGCCCTGCAAACCTTAGAGCTCCAGGCACCACAGGAGACAGGCTCCCTACGTGTGGGAAGCTTTTCCAACGGCTGAGGCAGAGGAAATGTGATCTTGATTTTGTTTGTAGCTTCTATGACACTGCATAGCAACAGAGCAACAACCGAATATAGCTGGCCCACCTCCCAAGGCTGGCAGCTTGCTTTTTAAAAATATACCGTCGAGACTTAAGAACCAACCCGGAAATTTCTAGTTTCACATCACATCGAGACACCTGTTATAGTAAAGATGGTGTTTGATGTTTGTTTTTCTCAGAGTGGCTCTCACCACAAAAATACTGATCCCAAGTTCCCTTCCTCTGTGTTCCTGAAAAGGATCAGAAGCTAGGCACCATACTGCCCTCTAGTGAACCGTAGTGATTGCCTTGCTGCTGGGAGAGGCGGCCCCTCCCCTCATTCTCTCCTGGATCCATCACACAGCAGGCTGCAAAGAAGCAAGCTTGGCCCCAAAGGATGGTTTGGGGAATTTTTGTTAATGCTAACAGTAACCCTTGGAGGGGCTGCGATCTTCACTCTGAACTGCTGGAGACTAATGAGGAAGCTTGTGAATGGCCACGACTCTTTCATTATTTGTTATTCATACTGTGGGACTCATTGGAAGCTATGGCTTTGCTACATACATACCTTTAAAAATGATCTCATTTTTAGCCATTTGAACTGAGGTCTGAGTTTCACTAATAGCCTGTGCTTGCAGAACTAGCTCTTCCGTCTGGTGGGTCCGTAGGCTCCATCACTCCAGTTTCCTGTAGGTTCTCAAGCTTCTCCGTGAGTTAGAACTCAGTATGTGGGAGTAAAGAGAGAGCAGCCCTCCAAGAGTTAGTTAGCTCCAACAAAAGTGTCCCCCAAGCATCTTTGTGGGTCAGTCCAGCCTCTCTCTGGTTGGATTTGCTAATGATCCAGACAACAGTCAGGAAACACCCTCATCCCAATAAGTTACCAAGGCAAATTACTTCCCACTGGTGCAGAGAAGTCATCCTGAGATGGGGCTGCATAAACCAATGACAGAGCTCTTGTCCTCCTTGCTTTCCCCAGTGTGTGTCCCAGGCACTTTCCAATGGTCCCAAGCCCTTTCCCCCCTGTGTCTAGTCACCTCATAACAATGTCTTCTGTAAAAAAGATATATAACTCCCTCACCGTTGGCCTGAGTCTAGTTGTTATTTGCTATTTCTTTATCAATGAGATTTTTTTTTTTTTTTTGAGACAAGTATCAGTAAGTAGCTTAGACTGGATGGTAGCTTGCTAAGTAGCCCACACAGGCCTTGTGGTCAGGATTCTCCTGCCTCAGCCTCTTGAGTGGTGAGATTCATGTCTAGCTTTTGACGTGTGTGTGTGTGTGTGTGTGTGTGTGTGTGTGTGTGTGTGTGTATGAAGCTTCCAGGCATGTTAATATTATATCAACATTAATATCAATATATTGTATGCTTTCTCCTTTTACTAATTTAATTTTCAGGTCCCCAGGCACTGTATATAAGAGGAGAGGAGATAAACAGATAAACTTCCTTCTCCATGATTCCATGTGCAGAGTTGACCCTGAGAGGCTCAGGTGCAGGGGCAGTGGAGCTGACCCTGAGAGAGACGGTGGCTGCAATGCCCAGGAAAAAAAGCATCTTTCAGTGGGTTCTGCTCGTGGCTGTTTGTACTTCATCAGCCTCAGCTGCTGTGCCCCAAAATGGCAAAAGACAAACCAACCAACCACACAAGCAGCCCAGTGCCTCTTTACTGGGCCTCATCGTGACCTTCAGGCAGCTTTATGTGCGTCTAAGATGTTAATCCCCGAGGCAGAAATCCAAGCTGGTTTCCCCTCAGAGCTGCT